TGTATTTTGTGTACTGCGGTGGCGCAGTGGGTAGCACGATCGCCTCACAGCAAGAAGGTCGCTGGGTCAAGCCTCAGCTTGGTCAGTTGGCATTTCTGTGTGGAGTTTGCATGTTATCATGTGTTCACGTGGGTTTCCTCTGGTTGCTCCGGTTTCTCCCACAAGTCCAAAGACATGTGCTGTAGGTGAATTGGGTAAGCTAAATTGTCCATGGTTTATGTGTGTGATTGAGTGTGTAAAACATATGCTGGATAAGTTGGTGGTTTATTCCGCTGTGGCAACCCCAGATTTAAAAAGGAACTAAGCTGAAAAGAAAATGAATGAATGAATGTATCTGTATACGGCATGTATACAGCTCTGGTGTTTTGTGTTTTTTTTAAGGCAAATGTAGATGTAGGTTATACAGTCCATTGTTAATTGCAGAGCTCCTCTATTAAAGTAAAGAAAAAAAAAACAAAAGATTAAGCTTCAGCCAGGTAATAAAAAGTAACGCAAAAGTAAGTGGCACAATTAGTTACTGTTTTGGGGAGTGACTCAATATTGTAATGCAATACTTTCTAAAGTAACGTTCCTCAACACTACCTCTAACGAGTATATAACTAAAACTCTAGCCTATATATCGTTTAATATAATGCAGGAGGGCATTGGATAAAGACAAATGTCTGATTTTACCAGTGAAAAAAAAATCTATTCATGTTGTCAATGACAGATTGCAAGCATATATATAAAAAATCACATTTTAACCAACGGTAGACCAACACATAGGCATAATATTATTATTGTTCATTCTACCATATGTTTGAGAAATAACAATAATAATAGGCTACTCATTCACCTTTATTTTACATCTACAGAATCCTGAGAAAATCCTGACCTTGATTTTAGAATAAAAAATCATGAAGCCCTACCCAAAACTAAAAATTCATTTATTCAACCTTCAGTAGATCCAAAGCAGTTTGAATGTCTTTATTCTGAGGAGCACAAAAGAAGACTTTTTTTTTTAAAGATGCTGGAAACCTGTAACCATTGACTTTGATTATCACACTATGGAAGTTTGTGATTTTTTTAAAGCATCTTCTTTTGTGTTTAACAAAAAAAAGAAACTCAGAGATGTTTCCTTTAACTTAGTCCCTGATTGGGGTCACCACAGCGGAATGAACTGCCAACTATTCAAGGATATGTTTTATGTAGCGGATACCCTTCCAACTGCAACCCAGTATTACGAAACACCCATAGACATTCACACACACACACATTCATGCACTATGGTTTTGTTTACCCAATTCACCTATAACGCATATATTTGGACTTGTGGGGGAAACCAGAGCACCCAGAGGAAAAGGAAACCCACACGAACACAGGAGGAACATCCAAACTCCACACAGAAATGCCAACTGGCTCAGCCGGGACTCAAACCAGTGACCTTCCTGTTGTGAGGCGACAGTGCTAACCACTGAGCCACCATGCCACCATTTTGTAACCAAATAAATGATCATTTTTGGGTGAATTATCCCTTTTATGCACTTCTTTTGATTCGACTGACATCCCTAACAATTACAAACAAATGCTGTTTTGTTGTCATGTGAGAATTGTGTCTGGTGATTCAGAACAGCCTGGTGTAACAGTGGTTCAATATGTGCCAACTGAACACACTACATACGAGTAAAAGTGTGTGTGTGAAATTGTCAGTGAAGATTAATGACCTTTGTAGAGGCATTCATCCAGAACTTTCCCCCTTTCTCTCTCTCTTCTGTCACTGTGTGTGTGGCAGAACAGAGAACAAAATGATTAAAGAGAGATCACACAAACAGATACCTTCCCTTTCTAAGCAGCTTTTATTGAATCTTGTTCACTTTCTATCTCGTTATCAGAGTGTTTTAGTGGGTGTGTTTGTGTGGTTTTGCTCTATTAGCTGTTTTAAAAGGTCTCGATGTGTTTTTCAAATGTCTTGTTAGTGCAATCTTCAAGCACAGAGGAAATAACTCTACAAAAGAACCGTGTGCAGTGTTGCTGAGAACTTGCTTTCTTTAAAGAGGTCATAATGAGAATTCAAATTGTGCTTGATCCACTGAGATAAAGGAGTTCATTGTACTATGAAAACATACTGTAACTTTCACAACTGTAAACTTGCTCCCCAGTGAGAAAAAAAATATATATTTAGATGAGTCCCGATGTTTGAAACTTGTGTCTTTATTTTTATGTCTCTGATCATTTCAATTCAATCTTAATGTGAGTGGCACATTTCAGTTTGTAAACTTTTCACACATGTAATCCAAGCTTTGAAAGAGACTGCCATTGTCACAGGATTAGTTGGTTTAGAAAAAAATTCTAGAATAAAATTTGAGTTTTAGGCAAAAACTTTACTAACATTAAAGATAAGAAGTAGGCTTAAGGATAAGAATAAATAACAAAAACCTATTTTGTTAATGTTTCATGGCGATATTACATAGATATAGACTTTTAAACTGTGCAAAATGTATATTTCCTTCCTTATCACACAGCACATAATATAAGCAGGGCTCGAAATTAACTTTTTTACTTGGTAGCACCGGTGCTCCCAACTTCAAATATTTAGGAGCACCAAAAAAATTTTAGGAGCACCAGAAAAAATTTAGGAGCACCCACCAAAAATAAATGAGCACATCTGCAAATTGTTTTTTAAAGGATTTATTGTATTTTAAAACAACATTAATAGGACTGACAAAAACCAGAAACAACTATCTAACTAATGCTGCGAAGACATTGATATTTGTGTGCAATAATTCCAAAAGGAATGTCTAAAAATTAGGCTATAGAAAATAAATGATGATAAAAAAATGACAATAATAGTAACAATGAATTACATTTCTCATTATGATACTGCCTTGAATGTGCATGAATGTAGGTTATCTGCTATAAAAAGTCTGTTACTTTATGAAAAATAATTGTATAGTTTGCATCAAACAAAAATAAAGCATTGCTGTAAGAAATATTAATTTGGTACTGCTGTTTTTATATGCATGTCAATTTAATAAATAATATTTATGCTAAAAACAAACAAAAGATTATAATAAATAATTAAATTCAATGCTGAAAGCTGCAAAGCAGTCATCAGTAAATAAATAAAAAATAATATACACCACAAAAAAAGAATAGATAAAAGAAAGTAAGTAAAGTCTCACTTCTATCACTCTTTAAAAGTTTTGGTTTCAGTTAGTGTCAATTTAAAGGTTCAGTCTGAGATGATCTTCATTTTTCTGTCTTAGTGGAAAAGCTGGCGAGTCAGCCGACCCAATTCATTAGCAGGCAGCGCAAGATTCTTGCGCTAACCATCGGCGCAATACCGGTCTTTGTTATGAGCCGCAGTTTCAGTGTAAACTTAGTAAAGGCGAGCTTCTTTGGCGATGATGTGTACAGTATTAGATTTGACTTTTAGCGGACGCTGAACACGCAGTGAATGCAACGCATGGAGATTCGGGCACCTTCTCCAAGAAGCGCGTACTCGATTGATCTCAGCTGGCGGATCATTATTCACCACGTGACGTGTCATGATCGCTCCCATCTGCGCCTCAACTTTAGGTGGGGTTTGCAAACCTGTGTGCTTTAAGTTTTTACTCTTCAGCCGTTTGCATTTCCCGTGGTCATAAAAGCTCCTTCCCTGTCATCTGACAGCGGAATACCTTGAGTGATTGACAGCTAATATGAACCAATATAGCGGCAGGGAAGAGCGATTCAGCACGTTTTTACAAAAAAATCAAAACAGGTCGCACTACAACCATTATCAGCAGTCGCACTAATGCTCCCAGATATATTATGAGGTTGCATAGATCAATTTTCGGGCGCATATGCGACCAAAATGGTCGCAATTTCGAGCCCTGATAAGGTATATCATCCAAAGCTTTTGTCCTAACATCTGCGACAAACAAAGTCTATTTTAGAAACAGTTTCTATTTCTGCAACTTCACGGCTGGAACAACAACATAAACTACAATGACAATGATAACCTCTGGTGCTAATTATGTGCTAATGACTTGAATATGATTTTGCGTGACTTTACAGCCACACTGAAAGCACCAGCAGATCTCAGATGTTGAAAATGAAATCCGAACTGGCATACATATTTTAAACACAACGTTAGATCTGTGTGAAGTAATATATAATTAATAACTATTATATAATTGATTTCATTCACTCACTTTGAACTTTTAATAATGTTAATGAGGTTTAACATTTATTAGTTAGATAATAGACCTCTCAATTTTATTAGGAGTGCTGTGAACTGTTCTGCATGTCTGAATGGTTTTATTTCTGTTGTTTAGCAGCATCTGCTAGAGAAAAACTAATTGTTTGTTGCTTGAATTGTCTAGTTAGGACACTGTAACTCTACCCCTGACAACAAGCCTCGCAGAAGAGATTTTCTTAAAAGAAGAATAAAAGATTTATTAGCTGTTTTCCTCTTGACTGAACAAATTTCCCTGCAAGATGAAAAAAAACTGATATATTGTACATCTGGGAACATTTATCATTTTTTTCTGTAAAAGGATATTTCAGCTGATTTTATCTATAAAATGAAAACCAACAGAGAACAAAACAGTACTGAACCAGACTTTTTAAGTTTAACCCAAAAACAAACAACTACATAAAAAACGTGATATATCTTACATAGGAAATAAATGTGTATGTAAAATGATGTAAATTTTAAAAAAAAAAGTCAAATTGTAATGACATAAGTGTGATTGTGTCATATTCTTAATTAGCATATAGGAAAAAACAGTATGTGACAAGAGCAGGATATCTAGCTCGAAGAGTATGCAAACTACTTTAAAAACACAAAATTCTGAAGTATCCATATGATGAACACTTTACTACCGTATTAGGCCACAGGAGAGGATTTGTTAATGGCAGTGAAGCGGCAGAACCAATGCTGATGTATTTAAACTATTTAAATCAGATTTTAACAACCTGTGGTATTAAAAAAACTCTTTTCTTAAGATAATGATTTTATTGTCCTTTTTTTTCAGAACTAAGGTGAAAGCATGGCTCTGGTCTTATCAATGAACCCCTTTTGTGAGCCTGAGACTGAATCCCCACCGCCAATCTTTCAACCAATCTGGGAATCTGAACACTGCAGTAAAAGCTGTGTCTCCAACCCTTCACCACCAGGAGGCGAACCCCAAGGGCTCATGGAAGGTCTGAATCTAATCTCGTTTTTTTTTTTTTTTTTTTTTTTTTTTTAAAGACTACTTTGGGCAGGTGCTGATGATGTTCTGTTCAAACGTAGATATTTAAAATATCTGTTACCCAGTTTTAGAACAAAAGCAAAGCAGAAATGCTCTTCATTCAAGTCTTTGATTTAGAAGACACAGACTATTAATGAAGCTCTGTCTGAACCTTGTCTCCAGAGCCTCATTACAGACGAGCTCCTGATCATGTGATGAATCGTGTGGCCGTGTCACGGATTTCTTATTTCAAGAGAAAGTTTGTGGAGGATGAAGAACCTGTGCTGAGCTTCAGGAGTTACTGTCACACTGTGAGTCTGCTAACTCATAGCATAACAACATAACATAACATAACTATATTTTTTCGATTGTCTGCAGAACAAATCATTGTTACAATAACTATTTACCCTAACCTGCCTAGTTAACCTAATTAACCTAGTGAAAGCTTTAAATGTCACTTTTAGCTGAATACTAGTGTCAAGAAAATATCAAGTAAAATATTATTTACAGTCATCATGGCAAAGATAAAATAAATTTCTTATTAGAAATGAGTTATTAAAACTAATTTGTTTAGAAATGTGCTAAAAAAAATCTTCTGTCCATTAAACATAATTTGGGGAAAAAATAAACACAAGGGCTAATAATTCAGGGGGGGCTAATATTTCTGACTTCAACTGTACATAATATATACACATACCATACATATAATAAAACCTGTAAACACTGGGGGTATTAAAGATGTCAAAATGCAGTCACATTAATAAAATAAACATCCATTTTATATTGCCAATAGTGTTGTAACACATTTTTAAAACTTCTTTTTAAAAATGCAATTTTAGATGATTTGGATTTCAATGGAAATTACTTGATGTTGCTGCAAATAGTGTATATTGGTTTTTAAATATCTTCTGTTAAATGATACATAAATATATTTAACATTTGTAAAGTTTACTTATGTTGATCCAATTAAATTTCAGCTCTTAGAAAGCTGTATGATTATAGGCTACATTAAACCCAAAAAAGCATTTCATGAGTAATTTTAAATTAGATTTGTATTATTTTGCAAACTATATTACGATTCAATCTTGGATTTCATGAAATTAAAAGATGTTTCTCATCAAATCATGCCCAATCAAATGCTTTTTAGTATTAGACATGCCCCGCCCCCTTAAAGCCACGTCACATTTGATGTGCTTGAGCTCAACCACACTCACTGGCAGAGCGGTGATTAAAACAAAATGCCATTAGCTGTTTTTTTTTAAAGGGAAGGAGGTACACTATGGGGCCGATAACACGAACAAGCTTTTCTTTTCTAAAAACACGAGGTGTGATCGGCCCCTATGTTCCACTCTCTCTTGATGTTTTAGTTGAGATTAAACATTTAATAAAAATGCACATTTCAAAGCACTTTAGAGGACCTTTAAAGTTTTTCAGTTATTTTAAAAAATGTTTTTGTTTTGAAAAATAACAGAAAACAAACCAAAACAAACATTTCTCCCCAAAATAACCTATAAAGTTAACTGACCTTCTCTTATTAATGCTCATTTTGTCCTCCGAGCCAGCAGGTGTCACCAGTCTTGGAGGAGCGTGCTCACATTCTCCGTCTCTCTCTGGAGAAGCTGCGTTTCATGGATGACCCTGAGTCCTTCTTACGGCGCTCCGTGCTCATCAACAACCTTCTCCGGCGTCTTAGAAACGAAATCCTCCTCCAGAGCGACTGGTGCTTTCCGTCAGGTCCGACAACCACACCTTGCCCCCTCCAAACCCCAGCCGCAAATACATCTCTCTCCCCTCCTGCCCTGCAGCCCTGCATAACGCCACCGGGGTCGTATCGGAAACGACTGCGTCTGATGAGGAAGGAAGGGCCCGAGTGTGTCCCTGCCTGCTGCTGTCTATACGCAGCCGGACGTTACCTCCAGCTCCCCCTGTCTGTGTATGAACGGGAGGTGTACTCCAACTCTCACCCTTCATCATCAACATCTTCATCATCTTCATCATCATCATCAGTTCGATTTCCACAGCTGATGGAGGACGAGGATGAGGAGGACAGTGATGATGAAGAGGAGGACTCGGTGTGTCCCGTGTTGGCCATGTGCCAAGCTGAAACCAGAGAGCAGAACAGGACATGGGACAGTCTCCGGTCGCAGAGCCACAGGGATGACAAAATCCTGGAGAAAGAGAGAGAAAAGGGGAAAGAGAGGGTTAAAGGAGGGGAGGTTTCACAGCGATGGCTTTCAGACACTATAGGTACTAGACACCATGGAACACTAGCAAGGGCTCACATAAGAGGAAAATAACAACTGAGCACTTGCTGTGGAAACAATGGAAGAAACTGGTTTCCTGCAGCCTAATAGATCAGTTCCACAAAGCAGAATATCAATTGTTAATAGTTTTGAATTTTAAGGTACTTTTTGTACCAACAAGGACTTAATTTACATATGCGACCCTTGACCACAAACCCAGTCATATGTGTCCATATTTACTAATCTTTCCATTGATGTATACCACAGATGCCCAAACTAGGGCCCGCGGGCCAAAGTTGGCACATGGTAACCTTTAATTTGGCCCACCATCCCATCTGAGAAGAGAGGAAAAATTATGAGAAGGGTTGAAGCAAATGCCATTATCAGAGATCGTAATTTCTAATTTACCGAAAGCTTTTTGGTTTGTTTCATTGCTGAGCTATGAAAAACCAAACTGAAATTAAATGTTTAAATTACATGTTTGTAAATTATTTAGATTTTTTTTAAATACAAAAAGACTGTCACTCGACTGATAAAAGACAATGCAGAAGACACTGGCAAGCAAATCAAGGCAAAAACAGGAGCAGCTTGACTAGTGTCACCCCATTCTGTTATAAATGAGATGTTATGAAATGTTTTTAACTGTAATGTTTATTATAAAATTAAAAGATATACACTGCATTAGGTAAATATAAAGCAATGCTTTCTAGTTATTTTTATATATTAAATAAATTAGGAAACTACCCAAGGCAAGTAAAATGGAATAGAGTTTGGTATGTTTACCTTCGGCCAAACACACTCAAGTTTGGTTTTTGGCCCTTCAAAAGAAAGTTTGGGCACATTGTATACTTGTTTAGAATAGGACAATATTTGGCAGAGATACATTCATTCATTCATTTTCTTGTCGGCTTAGTCCCTTTATTAATCCGGGGTCGCCACAGCGGAATGAACCGCCAACTTATTCAGCACGTTTTTTACGCAGCGGGTGCCCTTCCAGCCCCAACCCATTTCTGGGAAACATACATACACACTCATTTACACACACACTCATAAACTATTACTAAACAATTTAGTCTACATGCAAACTCCACACAGAAATGCCAACTGAGCCGAGGCTCGAACCAGCGAGCTTCTTGCTGTGAGGCGACAGCACTACCAACTGCGCCACTGCATCGCCTGGCAGAGATACAACTATTTGAAAATCTAGAATCTCAGGGTTAGAATCTCAAAAAAAAAAAAAAAAAAACTAAATACTAGGGCTAGGCGATTAATAAACATTCAGATGCTATAATTGATTGAATTTTTCCAGGTTGATTTTTTTGGATTACTTTCCCTACCCTTACTTTCAAAAACATTGAAAATAATTGATTTTGTTTTTAAAAGTGCAGGTTATTTATTATTTTCACTTCTTATAAGAAAAAAGTGACTGCTCGTTTAGGCAATTTGTGTGTTAATTTTAGTTGTTCAACGTTGATGTTCAATAAATAATCATAGATAGTAGATAGTGTGTTTCCTTCAATTATTTTAAAATCAAGTAATGAACCCTTAATTCAAAAATCTCTCTTTTAATGTAAGATGTGAGCCTATTTATGAATAAAACCTGTGAGTGAACTATGAGGGCAAAAAAAATCAAATAATTGTTCATTAATCATAATCAAGTTAAAATGTTTAATTAATCAAGATTTAGATTTTAGCCCAACCCTACTAAATACTGAGAAAATCACATTTAAAGATGTCCAAATTACATTCTCAGCATTGCATATTACTAATAATAATTTATTTAGAGTAAAACAATTACCAAATATCTTCATGCAACATGATCCTTATTTTACATTCTAATGATTATTGGCATAAAAAATATCAATAAATCTATCATTTTGACCTATACAATGTGCTTTGGCTAATGACAAAAATATACCTGCGCAACATAAGACTGGTTTGGTGGTCCAGGGTCACATACTGCTTGTCTCAAAAATGACCACACTGTGCCTTAAATGTTCTTGTATAATCTTGCAGTGTTTGTGGATATTTGTGACTGATGTAATCCACAACGATGGGCACCATGTAAAGTGACAAAGAGAGATCCAAACTCATTCAGAAACTGTTTTTAAAACTGTGTAATAATACACTGGCTCACACTTTACAATAATCTTCTATTAATGTTAGTTGTGTCCTACAGGAATCCTACACATATTTACTAACGTGAAATAAGAATAAGCAATATTTGATGTGCTCAGCATTTATATAGTTCAACATTTACTGCATTAATCCATAGTTGTGCTTTTCAACATTAATTATTGTACGGTGAGTTAACAAAAAGCTAACAACGAACAACTTTATTTTCAGTAACTTATGTTAACAAAGCTGAATAAATACTGTAATGTTCATTGTTTGTCTATGTTGATAACTAACATTAATGGAACCTTGTTGTAAAGTGTTACCATAAAATATCTGAAATTGACTTTTGTTAATATCATAGGCACTTGTCTTGACAAATGCATGACATACCGATCATCACATTTACATGCAGTGGTTTTTACCAGTTATGCATGAGGCCCAGAATGAGGCTTTAAATAATGTTTAAAACAATCTTGTTCTCTTTAGCACCCTTAGCATTTTATGCATTCACATATTTAAGAAAAAAAAACATCTTTAGTGACTCTATCACAGACGAAGATACCTCAGTGTCCATGTTAATTTGTTGTCTTGAGGGGCTTCACTAATTCAAGTGATTCTTGGTACGAATTAGAAAATGATTCACTACCAAAGCTTTTATTTTCATGCAGTTCTTAATTTTATATGAGTTGTTTATGCATTACTTTCTACATTTCTGTTTTATTTCTAAAAGCACTTAACGGGAGACCCTTAAATAAAAGCAGAACTTATAGAGGCAACAATGCTGGAAGGAAATGAAATCAAATTTTAAACATTGTTCGGGTTTGAATGTGTGTGCGTGTTTTCGTGAAATGTGTTAAGAATAAAGGAATGATCCCGAGCTCGCAATGTTCCCTTATCTCCTTCTGATGTGATTATATCTGGCACACAGCTTATTTCTTTGGATTCGCTCTCACTCATTCTCTCCCTTATTACTCTTGCTGTCACCTTTTCACTTTCTTCCTCTCTTCTCCATTATCACTATGGAAACAATGTTTACTGGAAGAGCAGTCTGGGATCCCCTGAGGCGAAAAAAGGTTCATGGCAAACATAGACACACACACACACACACACACACCACGGTCACACATGCACACATACACTCAGTGGTTATTATTGTGAACACACCCTGAGACGAGATGCTCTTATGAAGTGCATTGCTTCTGTAGAAGACGTGAGGTGATGGAATTCGTAGAGTTCTCTTTTCTGTGCAGTCGTTGTTTGTCAGTGTTGTCATGGCCTTTTACTGTTCAAACCTGACATACAAAACGTGACATTTTAAGGCCATGATTAGATTGTTGCAGGTTTTATATTCGAGTAATTTAAAGTCGTCATGTTCCAACATTATCCACTTGGTTTGTAAATATGTGTAAACATTATCCACTGTCAATTTGTGAATATACCTATTTGCATATTAGAAAGGTTAATGCTACTTTAAGTCAAAGTCCCTTTAAGACAAGTCATTTCGCTCGGCGGCCATCTTTGAAACATCTCGGGCATCTGAAGGTGGAAACATCAAATTCTCTAAAGCTACTTGCCAAGCTTATGACTAAATTTCATATTAGGAATTACAAATAAATCTAAACAACAACTGTTTCATACGTTTCATTTCGACTTACACTAAATCTGCAGAAACTTACGTCTGGTCGAAACCTCATCCCTATGAGTTTTGTCAGTTTATAGCGATCGATGATTGGCTCCTGTAAGTTACTACAAGGCGGGTTTTATTCGACAAGACTTATACAGTATAGCGATCGATATTTGGCTCCTTTACTCGAAGGCTTAGCCATATTGACCGTTACACGGCACACCCCACGCCATCGAAAAAAACAAAACCAAAAGAAGCTTGTTTTTTTCTTTTCGTGAGTAAAAAACTCATTTATATTTAATAAGGTAAGTACTAAGGCAGTTTATGATTGACTGATCTTCATGGCGAATCAACTCCCTGGAATAAGACATTTTTAGTTTCATTTTCATTTTTTTAACTATATATATATATATATATATATATATATATATATATATATATATATATATATATATATATATATATATATATATATATATATATATATAGTGAATAAAATATATTTTATTGCAAAAATTTCCTAAAATAGACTGATGGTTGATTCCTGTGAGTTGTTCTAAAAAAAGTAATATGTCAGTCATTTGATTCTGAGATGTTTTTTCTTTATTAAAACACTTTAAAAATGTACAAACTGCTTTGTCCTCGGCCTAATTGAACCTATCACTTTAATAGTTTTGTTATGCTAAAAACTGTTATTTAGAAAAAAAATACTTTTAAAATAGCAAGTTTTTAGTTGTTATCATTCACATCAATTGATCAAAACATTAAATTATAAATAAATTCTTCAAAAAAATATACAATTGTCCCCATGTTTTTGTCAGTCCTGTCACATTTGCATTAAATTTAATATAAAATGCCAGCAACACACCTCAGAAGTGACATCATTTGACGGAGAAGCTGACAGTGATCAAGAATGCATCCTATTATTAAATTGTATGATTTTATGCTCGTTTTTTGTATGATTTCTTGAGGACGACAAGCTAAATGGTAGGCCCTGTCACATTTTTTAAAAGTGAAAATGTTTGTTTCTGGTAGAATGTCCCACACATGAGATCAATCCAACAGGACGTTTTAACTTTAAATCATTGATAAATTAACTCTACCTTGATAACATATACGTAAATTAATTTAAAAATATGTTGCCTTAATAGTGGAAAGTCAATAAATCACTGTTGTTTTAAAAGTATGTATGCTGATTTTTACATTTCACAAAATTAGTGCTACTGTGTTGTTTCAAATTCTACAATTTCCCGGTAAGATTCCTGCAAGAGTCCTGCGTGATCCCAGTAGGATTCCTGACTCCTGCATATTCCCAGGATACCTGCATGTTCCCTGAAGGAATCCTGCAGGAGTCTTGCTTGTTCCCTCTAGGATTCCTGTAGGTCTCCTGCATATTCCCAGGATACCTGCATGTTCCCTGAAGGAATCCTGCAGGAGTCTTGCTTGTTCAACCCTAGGATTCCTGCATGTTCCCGTGAGGTAATCCTGCAGGAGTCTTTACTTGTTCCCTCTAGGATCCCTGTAGTACTCCAATTGTTTGGGACAGTGGTTCTCAATTCCGGTCATTAAATGGATCTCTCTGTTAATGATTTGAGGATATGAATCAAGTGTGTTAAGTACAGTAAGTAAGACATACAAAATGTGTAAGGTGGGGGGCCAGAGGACCGGAATTGAGAACCACTGGCCTAGGACCATACAAAAGAGCTTGTGACTGACATGTAAATCAACAGTTAATTTTGTTCATTGTCATGTTTATGTACATGAAAATGTATTGTTGATGCCCTTAGAGTAACAGGCTAGAATATAAAAGTTATAAAACATCAGATTTCTTTTCCATATGAGAAGGTTTGAGTTTAAGAGCCCCTATTATGGGTTTTTGAAAGTGACCTTCCATGTAGTGTGTAACACAGCTCTAAGTGAAGTGAAATATCCAGCTAAGGCTTAAATCTGAAAGTGGACAGCATTATAAACTCATTATAAATTCATCTATAAAGAAGTCGACTCATAGTGCTTCAAATAAATCGTCTTGATAACAAGTCCGTAGCTTTTTCGATGTGACGTCGATACAGAACATAAGCCCCGCACAATTGTTGCGTGCACAAACCTATGCTGGTTGAAATTACAGGTGTTTTCCGGGATAAATTACAACATGGGTGGGTGGCTGAAGATGGGTCTGAAATACGGGAGACTCCCGGGAAAAACAGA